CCTTCTGAGTGTGCTCCAGTAATTATTCCTAATTATTTAACATGTCTAGTTCTAGATTCTCAAAGAATTGTAATCAACTGAGACTTTACAGCTGGCAAAGTTGTATTAAAATTTGTATCTTCACTTTAGTACTCAGAAAACTTCAGAAGTAATTGTCTCATCACAGCAAAGTCCATAAGCACTCCTCCAACAGTGAACTGGTCAGCTGCATAGCCAAGTACTTTGCCAAATCTTGGGCTTAGTTACTTGCAGCTGCAGAAACCAAATTTAATCTTCATAAAAAGCAAAAACTTCATATCTGTCTACTGAGTTTCTGAGTTTCTGGTTCTCATGGGGTGCTTCAAAACAGTCCATGACCATCATTCTCTGGTCTCTTGGTGTTCAGGGAGCTATTGCCATCCAAGTCTTCAGTGTTGGATCTTGTGCCCAAAAATGCTGCCCCTGCCACTTTAACATTCTGTCTCTTGTTGTCCAGATGAGCACTATGCCAGGACTTCCTACAAGACCCTGCTTCTATGATATAGACCTGGACCCAGTGTCAGGAGAAGTAAATGGGCTCTTCTGAAAGGAATGATTAAGGTTAGTGCCTTCTTGAAAGCCTTCAATATTTGGGCTTTATTTTTGCAAAGATCTTGAGATAATGGAGTTAAGCCAATCCCATATTATGCCATATGTTTCCAAATGACATTTTATTATAATTCAGCCTAAAAGTTGCCTGCAGTACTATATAATAGTAATTAAATTTTATTTTTGTTTTTAGCTCCCAGAAGAACACCTGATGAGTCATGTAAATGGAACTGTGCTCTGATCTTTTTTTAAAGTCAGAATAAGACATCAGTGAGAATATAGTGCAAGAAGTGACTGGAAGAAGTACTGAAGAATCAACCAGTAACTTTTAATCTGTAATAATTTTTAAACTGCTGCCTTCCAAGCTAGTTGACACTGACCATAAAGCAAACTTCCTCTGCAGACCTCCCTCTTCATGATTGTAGCTGAAGCAGAATACAGAAGCTTGGCTTTAATGACCTCTTTTGATTCAGAGACATGATTTTAATAATTAAAAATCCTAAAGCTGGAGCTGTTTGAAACAATCTTGGGACTTTAATTGTCTTAACCATCAGGGTTTTGCAGCATGTATTATCTTTAGAAGTCTTGCTGGCTGCAGTTTCCCCTTTGTGGAATCCTCTGTTCCCCTTCTCGCACCACGGGAGAGCTGCTGTGCCCTGGCACTGCTCCAGTGTCATTTCAAAGGAGCAGGGAGGATCCCCTTTGCTTCCCAGAGCTCTCCACAAGTGCTTCCCCTGCCTTCTGCTGGGAGTTTCTCCTGCAGACACCTGAACCACATCAGATGGCCCAAGCCCAGCTGTGACTGCTGTGTTCTTCTGTCCATGGAATGAAAGCTCTGCAGAGCAGATCTGGAGGGAATATCTGTGGCTTCTACCAAATGTGTCCTTTGAACCATTTCCTGCTCAACCATAAGTGCAGTTACACCATTGACAGGCCTTGTTTCACCTGGTACCTTATTGATCAATAGAGACAACATGAATAGTGATCAAGTGATTTGTAGCAGGTTTTGTCAGCAGGCCAAAAATCATTTTGTAACATGAAGATAGCATTGCTGCCAATTTTTTAACTAATACAAATAAACTGGCAAATACTTCAAGTGCTTTTTGGGTTTTAATGTATGCACTGAGATTACTGAATTAGGATTTATTTCTGTGATTAACTACACACAACAGCAATGATTGTATTGACAAGTAGGAGTGATTATTGCAGTAATAAGTAGCCTGCAATGCACCAGGGTGTGTGTGTTTTAATCTGGTTTCCTTCCCTAGATGATGTATGTTGTCTGTAGGAAATAAACTACCTGAATTATTCTGTGAATGTGAGATACTTGCATCTGACTGCAGAATATCTGAATTAACAGTCATGAGGCCCATCTGCTTGTATCAGAACTGAATCTAAAAACATTCCAAATTTGGTGAGAACTGGGAGGATCAGGATGTAGGTGTGCACCAACGTAGGAGAGCATTTGTAGTACACAGATACTGTGTGTGAATATATATATATATGGATATGGAGAGAAAGATCCCTATCTCCTAAGTTATTCAGGAGGGGAGAATAATTACATAAAAGTTACCTGGTTGTGACACAAGCAGACAGAACACTTAAAATGGTTATGAGAGCATTTGAGATGCATTCACAGCCTCCTAAAATGTTCCTTTTGATGTTATCCAGCCAAGGATTTCCTGGCAGCCGGGAGAGCAGGCTCAGTGCCCTTGCAGGGGGTCAGGAGGGGCTCCCCCACTGCAGCCCAGCCCCCCAGCCTGGCTGAGGGTACCTGCAGCTCCTGGGCCCAGCCTTCCCTGGAGCAGGGTGCCAGAGCGGATGCTGCCAAGTCTGCTGTCAGTTCCTACATTTAATCTTCCCTGCTACACTGCTTTCCTGCAAGTGCTCTGTGTTCCACCTTCATTTTATGCTTATGAAAGATGGGATAAGTGCAAATTTATGCTAAGATTAGCCTCCTTTTAGTTTAGCATGAGATCATAGCCATGTGCTTGAGAGAGATGGTTCAAGAGGTTGCTAGTCCCCCTCCTGCAGTGAGGCACAGCGCCGGATCAGGCACGAGCCTTTTGAAGGGTTTGCTGCACAACAACAAAGCACAAGGACCAAAAAAACAGCCCCAAGCATCTCCAGAGATCAATGGGGAATGTTTTCTAACCTGCACTTCCAACCTCTCTTTTCTCTTGCAGGATGGATACATAAATAGGTTATTTTTTTAATACTCTCCTTTGCAGCTAAGGGTGCCAGCTAGGTCTTGTCCTATCAAATAGGACACAGGGGACACCTAATTTCTCCTAGCTAAGTACTCAGTGGTTCTCTTCTCCTCCTGTTGCTTAGAGAAAAAACTAATTATGTACAAATTTCTTCTCTGTGGGCTATTTGTGGGCCTGGTCCTTAGCTGGTGTTATGGCCATCCATCCCCGTGCTGTGCTGTTGTGAGAGCACTGCATCACATCCTGTAAGAAATAACACAGATTTATAGTTTTAGGTCGTACTGGGGACAAGAAGGGGGAGAAGGTGTTGCTTGGTTGGCTTGTTGTGTGTCACCAGCACCACAGAAAGAAAACAGGATCCAGCTGGGCCAGGATCTCCTGTCCAGCTTACCCAACTTCTGACCTGATGCTTTGTTTGGCTTTTATTTCCCTTTCACCACAGCCATTGGTGCTGCCATCTGCCCCTGGAGAGTCAGCAATAATTGGATTCCATGCAAAGTGCTCCCGAGGGGATTCATGGCAGCCTGCCTCCATCACACCACCACATTCCCCAGCCTCACATTACCATCCTCATTGTCTGCTTCCCTCCCTCCTGCCTCCAACTGCAACGAGGGAAAAGCTCCTTGCATTGAAGGGCCTCACTTGGCTTTAATAAAGCAGTGGATCATAATTAGAACCCACCACCCACCTCAGGAGAGAAGCTGTTTCCAAATGAAGTTTATTATCCTGAGTGAATGCGAGCAAACACATCTCAGAGGGGAGCTTTTAAAAAGGCAATTCCTTGTGATGCTCAATGCACTTTTTCAGCCCTCCTGGCTGGCGTTTCAGCCCAACTAATCCATTTTGTACCTTTTTTCCCATGAAGAAGCTGAGGAGGGGGGTGGCCGTGTGTGTTTTTCTAAGCCTGGCCTACACTGGAAGCCACTTGCAAGTTCAGAGTGCTGCTTTGCTCGGTTTCTCGTGTGCAAACACGCTGTGAAGCAGTTAATGTCTGTAAAGCCTTTGTGGGCGTCAGCTCCCCGTGGAGATGAATGGGGACGTTCGGGCATCTCAACTGCAGTTTCCTGTAGTTCATCAGCTGCACTGGGAAGTCCTTTTTCTAGAGGCTCGCCCATCAATCATCACAGCTGGAGACGTGATTTTTTTAAGTCAGATCTCAGCTGCTTTGGAGAGAAGAAAGGCTCCGATGAAAGAGGCACTTTCTCTGGTGTTTTGGGCACGGATTAGTTTGAAGCCAAGAGCTGGCTATCTTTATCTCCACCTCCAAAGGTGTAGCTCTTGCAGCACCTCCAACAGTGAGCGCTGAAAGCTGTGAAGGTTTTAGGTGGGACACAAAAAGCAGCTGCCAAGAGCAGGATCCCCTCCCTTGCCACCAAGCCAGGAACCCCCCAGCGGTCCCTCCTCCCCGCGGGGTGTGCTCCGGGCTCCCTTGCCGCTGGGATCCAAACTACAAACCGCAGCCCGATTGCTGGGAGGACCTTCCTTCCCCTCGAGCTGAAGCCGGTGGTTTTCGGGTCTGCAGGTACTGTGCACAGCCTGGGAGAGGACGGAAGGTTCCTCTGCCAGCGGGCGAGGGGTCCTGCCCCGCCAGGAGAGCGGCGCTGCCCCGCCAGGGGAAGGGACACGGATCGGCGAGCAGGCAGCGGCGCTTCCCCCGGAGGAAGGAGGCGGCGAGCAGGTGCCGGCCGGGGCGGGGGGCGGGCCGGGGGCTGGCGGGGGGCGGGGGGCTGCGGGAGCGCCCTCCCCGCCGGCCCGGGGGGCGCGGCTGCGGCGGAGGCGGCGGCGGCAGCGCAGCCGCGCGGAGCGGAGCGGGGCCGGGCCGGGCCGTGCTGCAGGTGAGGGCGCGGGGGGCGCGGGGCCGGGGCTGGGGGCGGCTCCGCCTCGGGGGGACCCGCGGGGGCGGCGACAGCAGCGGGGCCCCGGGGCCGCCTCGGCAGTCGCTGCCCTGGGAGCCCCGCGTGGCCTCGGAGGGGGCCGGCCGTGGGGGGCTCCCCATGGCCGGCGGGGCAGCGGCGCTGCCGGGCGGGTCCTGCTGTGCCCCCGCGACCGCCCCCAAAACTTCCCGGGCGCGGGGGTGGCGGAGCCGGGATGCGGGATGCGCTCGGGGCAGCGGCTGCTGCGCTCGCACGGCTCTGACAGCTCCGCTCGGTTCCCCTTAAAATAGCCTCATTAAAATCATAATAATTTTTTAAAAACCCAGATGTGCTGCGGGGGAAGCGTGCCCCGGAACCCCCTTTTAATCACCCTACTCCTGAAAAGCAGCGCACGAAATGCCGCGTAAAGCCCTGCCCGGAGCCCCCGAGCCCGTCCTGCAGAAGTTGGTCTGTTCGTGGTAACGCCTTTTTGCATCGTTCTATCCAAAAGGTTCTGATGATATTTCGAGGCAGAGCTTTTTTCCTTTTTTTTTTTTTTTTTTTTTTTTTTTTTTTTTTTTTTTTTTTTTGCTAAGGTTGACACACATCTTACAACATCATGTCTTTGATGAGCACACACGGTGTTAATTGAGGTTGCCATGGGAGGCATGCACGTAGTATAAATAAGCTCCCTTCTTGCCATGTGATTTCGCTTTTGTATTCCTCAAGCCTCCTTTTTGTATTCTCTGTTTTTGCATATTGTCATATGGTGCATTAAAGATAAAAATATCTGCTGTCTCAGGGTGTAATTTCCCTAGCTGGAACTATAAGTGCATATGGAGCAGTGGGGAAAGGATTTAGCAAACCGTAGGAGAAGGAAATATGTGTATGCCTGTGTAATAAGTATTCGCCATAATATGGGCAGTTATATAAAAAAAAGTCCTTTTTTACCACATAAAATAGCAAAATAGTACTTTCTGTGATGGAACATCACTGTGTTGACATCTTATGGCCTTATTTTGCCTTTGGGTATTCATGCTAATTAGTGAAAAAAATGTGCTATAGTGCATCCAGCCCTGCTCTGCCTCCCAAAATGAAATGTTTAGGGAGAAAAACTTTTTAGTACTTTCTAAAAATTTCTCTACGGGTCTTATCACTCATTTATTGTGTTCCAGATAAAAAGATGAAAGCCTTGGTCGTGCTTTGCAGCAAATTTCATGTAACACGCAAGGGGAACTGAAGCAGAAACCAAAGCCAAGGCAAAGCAGCATCTGACCTTGTCACTGGGGGGCAGAAAACAGCCGCTGCTTCCACTGGTGCTTCCATCAAGCTCCCTGGGCAATGTGGAATTGCAGAGAGCTCACAAAGTGCAAGTTCCTTCCAGGTCCGTGGGGTGAATAAAAATTGTTAATTCTTGGCTTGATTTGTCATCCTTTGGGGGAAAAAAAAAGGTATGTCAGACTGGCCATTATACAGTTAGACCAAGCACAACTGGAAGTGGGTTGCTCCAGAGATGAGAGTGACTGAGGCCAGCAAAGCCAAGGAGAAGCCTGTTCAGCTGCACATCTCCCCGGGATTCCTTGGAGAGGTGATAAAGTGAGTAATAAGGCAAAGTGGGAGTTACAAAGTGGATGCGACAGCTCCAGCAGAACTTCTTCTCACTGCCACATAGGCTCGATACAAAGCAGCAAACGTTATTTGGAAATCTGTTTGGGGAAAAAAATGCACTTTGAGCATCTCTGCAGTTCTTGTGTCTGAAGCATTGATCAGGAAAATCGGCAGCAGAGCGCCAGCAAAGGAGAAGAGAATATGGTGAAGGCAGCCAAGGAAATTGAAATGGAGAACCCAAGAGAGGCAGAGACTCCCAGCACAGGGGCCACATGTTCCCCACCAGAGGAACAAGCAAAAAAACCCTCCATGCTCTGTTTTAAGAAGCGGAAGAAGTCCTGTAAGAAGGGGCTGACTGTGAAGGATGCATGTGAAGGAGCCTCAGAGGAGAAAAGCCAATGTGTCAGCGCTGAGCAAGAGGAGGCCAAAGCTTCCAATCCATCACGATCCTCCAAAGGAACCTGGGCAGCCATCAAAAACCTCGCCAGGCCTCAGAGAAGGCAGAAGTCCTCCTCACGGAAGAAGGTGCCCTCTGATTCCCAAGTGCAGCTGGAGGTGGATGCTGAGGAGAGCTGTGCACAAGACCTCCCAAAGAAGCGGGCGAGCTCTGGGGTGAAGATGCCCTGTGTGAGGTTCTCCAGAGGTAAGAAAAAACCCAGCCCCTCAGAAGCAGTGGAGGAGTCAGAGGGCAGTGTTCAAGCAAATGAAGTGATGGGTGTTGTGAATAAGGCTATTGAAGAGCCAGAGGATTTGGCCCCAACAGACAAATCTGAATCCCTCAGCCCGGTCTCTGCACAGGAGGAGCAGGATACGGTGAAGCAGGAGCAGCATAGAATAAAGGAGGACCAGGGTACAAGGAAGAAGGACCAGGATACAATAAAAAAGGACCAGGATTCAGTGAAAGAGGACAACCATACAGCAAAGGAAAGTGACACCTCTGTTGGGAAGAGTGAGCCATTGACAGAGCCCACACGGGATGCAGAACATTCAGAGTGCACTGTTCAGCTGGAGATAACCAGTTCAGAGACATTTGATGAAACAGCCCAGGACAAACTGCAGGAAGGGAGTCTGCCCCCAACCACTGACAATGTGGAGGGCAGGGAAGTTGCTCCCGAAGCGCCTGCTTCTAAAGATCAACCTGACACTGCCCCTGAAATCACAGAGTGCCAGGAAATCCCCAGTGTCTGCAAAGAGATGCCTGAAAGGGATGAATTGGAAAAGAGCATAAATCTTTCTCAGGAGCGCAAAGCTGAGGAGACTGTAACTGATTTCAGTGAGTTGGCATCCAGAGGTGATGCAGCGAGTGTGCAGGAGGCAGCAGGTGTGCAGGAGGCAGCAAATGAGAAGGATGCAGTGAGTGTGCAAGAGGCAGCAAATGTGCAGGATGCCACAAGTGTGAAGGATGCAGTGAGAGTGCAAGAGGCAGCAAATGTGCAGGATGCCACAAGTGTGAAGGATGCAGTGAGAGTGCAAGAGGCAGCAAATGTGCAGGATGCCACAAGTGTGAAGGATGCCACAAGTGTGAAGGAGGCAGTGAGTGTGAAGGATGCAGTGAATGTGAAGGATGCAGTGAGTGCACAGGAAGCAGTGAGCGTGCAGGATGCAGTAAGTGTGAAGGATGCAGCGAGTGTGCAAGAGGCAGCAAATGTGCAGGATGCCACAAGTGTGAAGGATGCAGTGAGTGTGCAGGAGGCAGCAAATGTGCAGGAGGCAGTGAGTGTGAAGGATGCAGTGAGTGTGCAGGAGGCAGCAAATGTGCAGGAGGCAGCAAATGTGCAGGAGGCAGTGAGTGTGAAGGATGCAGTGAGTGTGCAGGAGGCAGCAAATGTGCAGGAGGCAGTGAGTGTGAAGGATGCAGTGAGTGTGCAGGAGGCAGCAAATGTGCAGGAGGCAGCAAATGTGCAGGAGGCAGTGAGTGTGAAGGATGCAGTGAGTGTGCAGGAGGCAGCAAGTGTGCAGGAGGCAGCAAGTGTACAGGATGCAGTGAGTGTGCAGGAGGCAGCAAATGTGCAGGAGGCAGCAAGTGTGCAGGAGGCAGTGAGTGTGAAGGATGCAGTGAGTGTGAAGGATGCAGTGAGTGTGCAGGAGGCAGCAAGTGTACAGGATGCAGCAAGTGTGCAGGATGCAGAGAGGGTGAAGGACACTGCAAACGTGCAAGATGCAGCAAGCATGAAAGATGCAGCAAGTGTGCAGGAAGCAGCAAGCGTGCAGGATGCCACAAGTGTGCAGGATGCAGAGAGTGCACAGGAGGCAGCAAGTGTGCAGGAAGCAGTGAGTGTGCAGGAGGCAGAGAGTGTGAAGGATGCAGAGAGTGTGCAAGATACAGCAAGCCTGCAGGATGCAGCAAGTGTACAGGAGACAGCGAGTGCCCAGGATGCAGCAAGCGTGAAGGATGCAGCAGGTGTGCAAGAGGCAGCAGGTGTGGAGGATGCAGGAGGTGTGCAAGAGGCAGCAAGTGTGGAGGATGCAGCAGGTGTGCAAGAGGCAGCAAGTGTGGAGGATGCAGCAGGTGTGCAAGAGGCAGCGAGTGTGGAGGATGCAGGAGGTGTGCAGGAGGCAGTGAGTGAGGAGGATGCAGCAGGTGTGCAAGAGGCAGCGAGTGTGCAGGAATGCTCCAGCCGTCAGATACTAGAAGCAAATGCAGGCGCTGGTGTCAGCATCGTCATCACCATCACCGAAGCTGAGGACTCTGACAACACCGACTCTGACCAGGCCTATGAGCCGTCCCCAGTTTTGCACCAAAAAAAGCAAAAAGGGAATAAAAAGTCTAACAGGAGCACTGATGTTGGTCAAAAAGAGGGCCCTGAGGCTGGTGGTGGTCCCCAGGCAGAGGAGAAAGGTCTGGGTGACCAGGGGCACAGAACTGGAGAGCAGTACGAGCTGCTCCTCATAGAAACCGCCTCCTCCCTCGTGAAGGCGGCCATTCAGTCATCCATAGAGCAGCTGGTCAACGAAATGGCCCTGGAACAGAATAAGCACAACAGCTTTCTGTGATGGCAGCCTTGCCCCAGAGAGAAAGGGCAGAGGGAGTGATTTCAAGCTCCATTTGGCCTGCAGGGTGTGTGGAGAACTGGGAGAGCTCCCGGGGCCGTGGTGTGGTTAATTCTGCATGCCCGTTCAGTTGTGTCCATGTGAAACGGATCCCGGGACGCGGGCAGGCCCTGCTGAGGGCAGCGTGTCCCCTGGGCCTTCAGACAGCACCACTGACCACAGCTGCGGAAAAATTAAGGTGTTACAGTGACTGTATTTTCACTTATTGGCACATTTCTGTCATGGCCACATTTCTGCTGTCCCCCATGCCCTGTTTCCCCGCTGTCCACGCTGTAGATCTGTACATACCATGTGTTGGAAGAAAGGCCCTGAGAGGCAGCGAGTGCCCAACCTGCTGCTGGGCTGGATTCGGGGCATGCTGAAACAGCTGGAGCCTTGCTGGGCCTTTATTGCAGACGAGGAAGAGCAAAGTGTCTGCAATATTAACAGGAAAACATCAATGCCAGGCTGTGCTTTGTGCTGTGAACCGGCCCCAGGCGCCAGGAGCCGCGGTCAGTGCTGTGGCACGAAGCCGGCGGGTTGCAGCAGCGAGCTCTCTCCTTCCTTGCCTCGGCCTCTCCCGCTGTCAGGAGCAGCCTGTGCATCTCCAGACACGCTAAAGCTCAGCATCAGCCTCGCCTTGCTGACCCCGGGCTGAAAGCGACAGCGCCTCATCTGCCGGGGGAGCCTTTCTCGCACCATTGAACTCGACGGGCAAAATTCCCTGCGGGATCACGGGCTTGGCTGGGCAGGAGCAGCCCTGCCGCCGGCAGCCCCTCTCCTCCCTCGACTTCCTCCGTCCCCATCCCGGTGTCGTGCTGAAGCTCTCCTCGGATGTAGCATATTTTTTTATCCATGGCATGCGATATAAATAGCAGTGAGCTGCATGCGTGTTAGCAGTCAGCAGAGTTTGGGAAGCTGCAATTTTGTGCTGCCGGCGCTGGGATTGCTTTGATTTGGTCTGAGTGCCGCTGGCATCCCCGGCTGCTGGCGGAGCCTGTCCCGCACCGCTCCCCCCTCAAAGCCCTCCCGCCTTCATCCAGCCCAGGCATCCCTTGGGAATCGTGCGTTCTGCCCGGCTCGCTGCCACCAGGCTCTGGCACGCCATGGAGCTCGCTCTGAAACATGCAGGGAAATGCTGGAGCAATCTTACCCAAGTCCTCAGGGAAAAAAAAATCCTGACATGAGGACATGGCTGGAAAATGCCTGGACAAGCCTACTGCTGTCAAACCCCAGAACTGCCCTGTCCGAGGGGTTTGCACCGTGTGTGTGTGTGAGCATCACCTCCAGCTACCAGCACCCCAGGAGAAAGGGGCTTTTTAATAATATGGGATTGCATCTGCGTGGCTGGGATTTGTGTCCAGCTGTGGGCAAGGCAGTGTGTTCCTCTGAGAAAATTCTCCTGCGTGTTCCTCAGCTGGCGCAGAAATAGCAGCCGTGCTTGGTGATTGCTCACTGACCGTGCACTGAGATTTCCCTGCCCAGCACAGGCTTTGGATTCCTGCTAAAATACAAGGGCTGTACCTGTCCCTCCTATCTGGTGCACAAACATGTTTTAAACCTTGATAAAACATCTCCTTGATGTCACAAGAGGACTGCGAGCAGCAAGAGCCACAGCTCATCTCTGTGCGAGTAAAACTTAAAAAAACCCAGAGGGTGGTAAAGAAAAAAATGTCTTTTTCTTCCTGTGAATTTGTTTATTAAGTTATCAGCTATTGATAATTCAGTGTGTACAATTTTAATGGCTTTGTACTTCATACTGGTCCTTCCAGGTATTTTGCCATAGTTTTGAAAAAGGGACTTTTAAAGGACTTTTAGACATACCTTTGGAGCTGCCACAGCTCACCCCAGGAAAAGCCATCCCGATGCAGGGAGGGGCTTACGGGATTACACAGGGCACTGTGGCAGGGCTGAGCAAAGGGCTGCAGCACTGCTGTGGGGTCCCACTGGAGTCAGCTGCAGAGGAGGATGTCCAAGCTTTAGTAAATAAACACAAAACTACCCCCCAGGGCCAGGCTGTCAGCCTGCTAAGCTGTTTTGGGAGGATTTGGTGTTATTTCAGTACTGCCTTTTAGGTGAAACACGTCTTCAAAAAAGGAGGAGAATGGCAAAAATGCCTAGTCCAGCCCTTGCCCTGTGACTTGCTCCGTATCAGGGGTTGGGTTTGCATCCTCTCTTGTATCTGGTTTTCCCTCTGTTATAGCTGTACATAGAACTGATGATTATTTCATTAAAGCTGAATGTACCTGTTGTTTCCTTGCCTTGTGATTGAATGGGCAGCTATGGAGAGATTTTAGATGTGAAAGGATTAACTCACAGGGGTGCTCCATTGTGTCCAGCTTTTTCAGGCAGTCATACATTGAGCAGAGAGAAATCTTAATATTGGTGGCAGATCCGAATTCTTTGGAGGTTTGCTCCTCCTCTGCCCTTTCTATGACATTTCCTTTTGGTTGCTGGTCAATCATTTCTACTATGGAGTCCTGGCTGCCCAGGGACTGCTATAAGGAATTTGTGAAGGATCACAAATCTCTGGCAGCTAAGAAAAACCATCCTGCTGCCCCATGGTTAAATTCCCTGTTAGATACCCCGTGGCACCAGAGGAGAATGCTTAAGGGTGGTGCTGACAGTGTTCAGGTTGGGGCTGGAATTTTGGGAAGGGGAGTAGCACATTTGGTGCTTTGGCACTTTCTGGGACAGATGAAATCAGTCCCACACTCTAATTGTTTTGGGGTTTTTTGCATAATGTCCTTCATGTAATTTCTTGAGACAGTTTAAAACATACACAAAATACGATGTAAAGGAGTTATAAATTTTTAATAGTATTAATACTATCCTTTCAGGTTTACAGAACAAAATATAGGCTCATAACAACTGCTAATGACTTAATTAAGACTCTCTACTCCTTCCTTATGATTAGAGAGTAGAACATTAATAAAACATTTATTCTTTCATAGAAGGAATGATAAATTTGCTATTGTGAAAGGGAACCAGGGAATCTGTGAGGATGTGGCTGTGTGGCTGTGCCAGAGCACCAAAGGGTGGCCTGACTTCAGGACCATCATCCTCACCAACAGCTAAAATAATCTGGAATTATCATCAAATCCCAGGATCATTCAGGTTAGAAAAGACCTCTAAGATCACCAAGCACTGCCAAGGCCACCACTAAACTGTGTCCCCAGGTGCCACATCTACATATTTTTTAAATCCCTCCAGGGATGGTGACTCCATCACTGCCCAGGGCAGCCTGTTCCAATGCTGGACACTCCTCTCAGGGAAGAATTTTTTCCTGATATCCAATCATTTTTATGGCCCTATTCAGCTTGCTTCTGAGCTGTCTGGCTCCTTACCCAGAAATTCATTGCTTGCTGCCCTCTGAATTATGGAAGTGGTTCTTCTGCTCACCCCACAGCCTGTGCTGCTGCTTTTGTCCCAGATGTTTCCTGTGCTCTCCTCAGTGGGGACAATTCAGCTATATATCCAACAGGTTCCCTGTCCCTGCTTTGCTGTGTCATTTTGAATATTTTCATCTCCCACAGCTTTTTTATGTTAGCAGCAAAGAAAAGGGTGTTTAAATAGTATAACTCATACCCAGAAAGGCTTCCAGGGGGATAGAAAGCTTTTCTGTTAAGTCAACACTGAGCCTGGCAGAAAACAAGTGTATCCATTGAAAAGTTCCTTGTGGAAACTGCCAGTAGACAATGATGGCACAAACAAATACTGCATTTTCTTTCCTGCCCTGGGACACCAGAAATGGATTAGAAATGCACAGGGGCAGATCTCCAGCTGCTGAAGGTCATGGCAGCTCCATAGGCTTCAAAGGACTGACTCTACAGCAGCCAGGAGTCTGGTGATTGAATCCAAGGTGCAATTCCTGCACAAATCCCTGCACAAATCATGGATATTCTCATATGCAACATGTATAAAAGTGAAGATGCGGTTGTGGGGGTTTTGTTGTTGTTTTTGTGGAGTTTGGGTTGTTTGGTTTTGGGTTTTTTTCACAAATGTATGTAAGAAATTGAGTAAATTCACAAAATACACGGGAATCCTGGTTTGCACTTGGGATAGATGGATGGATGGATGGATAGATGGATGGATGGATGGATGGATGGATGTTGGATGGATGGATGGATGGATGGATGGATGGATGGATGGATGGATGGATGGAAGCCAGACCCACATGTACACGCACTGAAGCCCTAATGTTTCCTGTGTTATAGATAGAACCTTTCAACATGAGTAACTCAAAATGAACTGCTCCAAGGAAACAGATTGATTTAAATAATTGCTTTAATATGATTTTACCTCTGCAGTTTTATTTCCCAGAGAAATGGTTCTTGTCAGCTCTTGTTGGGTAGTACTAAAATAATGAAATACTTTTCATTTGCAAACGGACAAAATCTTAACATTAAATGTGACTTTAAAAAACACCTAATCAGAGGATGTTATTTCTTATACAATATAGGTTAATGTTTTTTAGGAGGCACAGCTTTCACATCTTTCTTTTTGCAGAGAATTGTGAAGAGTGCAGTTCTGTGCCAAATTATGGGATTTTTCTGCTGTGGGGTTAAAGTCCACTTAGCCAAAAAGTGGATTTCAGCAAAAAATACTCAACCCCAGCATTTTAAAGTAGGTTTCGTTATATAAAAACTGACAAACAGGCTGGATACAAAAGGGAGGGAGACGGTAAGAAAACATGTTTTGCAATTCAGATTGTTCAGATGAAAGTATCATCTGCATCTTGAGCTGGCAGTCACCCTGTCAGTCCTCAAGTTAGACCTCGCAGAGATCTGCCTTCCAAACCTCTTTAATCTGGAAGAGGTGACACCCCCCCCCCCATCAAGATGCTCCAGCAGGGTCCCTTCTGCAGGCACCGCTGTCCTTTCGGGAGGTGCCTTTCCAATGCCAGGTCCTTATCGGTGCACGGACACACCAAGCACCGCTTTGTCCTTGTCCCTGAGAGAAGATTTCCATCTGGAGAGGGATGGATGTCATCTCTGCGCCCCAGCGCCCGTCACTCGTGTCACATTTGCTCTCACCATTTGCCACGTTAATGAAGACTCGAGGCCGCGGTGTGTCAGGGTGACAGCTCGGCGTGACGGGAGCCTGCTGAGATGGCAGCTGGGCGGGAAGGGCAGGGACCGCGGCTCCTGCGGAGCATCCCCGGGAAGCGGGAGCGGCTCCGGTCCCGCTGCCGCCGGCGGCCCCCGCCGCTCCCCGCCTGCCAAAGCTCCCAGACTGCGCCGCACCAAGGCGCAGCCCAGACAGCCTGAAACCCAATTTGCATTCCATTTCCCAGCTGGAGCAGGGCACGGGAGGCCGAGGCACTGGGAGGCCCGAAGCTCCCAGCCGTGCGTGGGGCAAGGAGCGGGCGGCTGGGGCCAGAGCAACAGGCACGACAGGAAGGCGCGCCCGCACCCCGGCCATTAGCGCGATGAGTAAGCGAATGGGGAAAACAGCCTGGTGGGGGATGCTCGGCCCTAATGACAGGCTGGGCCGCCCGCCCTGCTGGCTCCGGCGGTGCTGCGGGTGGCGGAGGCGAGCGCTGCGGGAGCGGGTCCCTCCCGGAGGGATGGCTGCGGGCAGAAGTGACGCGGAGCATCGGCCGCCGCTGCCGCCGCTTGGGCCGGAGCTCGGCGAGGCTCACGCCCACCGCTGGATCCTGTCTGGGTGGCTGACACCACTGTCTGCCTGCCACGAGGTGCTTCTCCTGCATCCATCACCCCTCCATGGCTCGCCGCCCTGGTCTCCCTGCCCTGGCGCCTATAGGTGGCTTTATGTCCTAAAACCAATGGGTTGCAAATCCCAGTGATTGCCAGGAGGGACAGAGGGCTTTAGACAGGGTTTTCCTACAGCGTTTGTGCTAGTGACAGGAGGATTCACCCGGACTAAACTGCACTGCCCTGTGCATCCCGGGAGGTACCCCCGAGGCACGGGCTGCTGGAACCCCCCGAAGCTTCCCAGGACCATCTCCAGCCAGGTGAAACCCAGAGAAGGCTGAGAGCTTTGTCCTGCCTTTGTTCTGAGGGTGCAGCCTCTGGTTTAGAATAGTTGGTGGAGAACATTTCCTCTCCTAGGCTGCTTTTGAAGT